TGGGAGACAGGCTAACAGAAGCCCTCTATCCAGCACATTGGTTAACCTGCATAGATTACATGCCTTGTAAAAATATCATTAATCTTGACACATGAAGCTGATAAGATGAAAGCTTCTGCAACAAAATATGTCTGCAGAACAAAAAAAAAAGAGTACAAATTTACTTTGTTGAAAAAACAAGCTCTTTACTCATCCTCATTGGTTTTTGCTTATTGTTTTATCTCAAAGCGCTTAGAAAGACAGCAAAGCTGTGGTTTCACAGCATGAATCTGCTCTAAGGAGACTACTATAAATATAAGAACATATCCTTAATACTGACCTACAAAATCTAACAAGACTGTGCACTGGGTTTAACCAACACCTGTGCAGAAATTAGCATACCTGCTAACAAGATAGGTCATGCCCTCTCACCTGAACGCAACTATTTTTAGCATGACCTCAGGTCAAACTGAGCAAGCTGGGTTCAGGGAGAATTATTTCGGGTGAAACATGTTGGGAGACAAACAAACATGTTGTGCCCTGGTCTGGATATGTCAGTCATAGCATTAGACTTAGACTCAGTGAGAAAAACAAAGTGGAATATGACTAATGGTTGCTTAGCGATCAGTGTTTGGAATCAGATTTCTAGGGGCATTTTTTAAAGATTAGTTTTCTCATTATTTCTAAATGTGACCATATCAGACACTTTTTACTGGAAATCAGGTCATTACATACATTAAAATCCATTTAGAAAGTTAACTTTTACGTTGAATAGAGATGTGTAAAAACTACCATTTGTAGCATGTGTGTTGTATTTTTAACACACCATGAGTAGATTTTACTCTCATAGCATAATCATGTCAATATCTAAGGTTATTAACCCAAAATATAATTACTGGACACGACCTAGGAATTGTTATTGGTGACCAACTTAACTTAAACTCCAATATAGTTTCTCTACCAATGATATAACCTCAATCAATATCATTTGTTTTCATATTAACAGTTTTATCCAATAAATCATGATACATCAACTTGTCCATTTTCTAACATATTTCATCCATGACTATGTTTGCTCTATCCTTGTCTGTTATGTATGCATATGTGATGTGTTTGTGTAAAAGTACATTGGAACAGTGCTATACATTGTATCTGTTCTTTAATGGAACATATTGCAATAAATATTATAAATCTTATCTATTATCTATCAAAGCTTAAATCAGAATTCACAGGGTAATGCACTGTTATCTGAATCTTCATCCTTCGATTCACTTAAGAGGATTGTAGTTTGATGTAAACAAAAGAATAATGATAATCTTAATAATTTAAAAAGTGCCAAATCTACCCATGGTTGCATGCTCACCATGCTCACAGCGCAATATTATTACTACCCCAGGCAATGGATCAGTGTGTCCTCCAATTTCATTCTCAGCTCCCTGGGGAGTATACAAACCCAAGCTGCAGAATAGAGTGCTAGAAGTTTAACAGTCACATTATGATTTCAACCTACCGGGTACCCAGTCACTGCTGGGTGGACATGGGCATATGTTGAACAAGGTCATTTGTTTCAGAAGACAACCCATGTCACGTGTTTCAGTGTGGAGCAAGACCCAAACCCTCAAAACCCTCAGTACTCAAGCTGGCCAAACACTTTCACCCATCCACCTACTCTCTGCCACAATGTTTGCCTGATTTGTGATCTGTACACAGGAACATGTCCTTCCACAAATATATTGGGGGGCACGGGTGGCCCAGTCGTCTAAGGCGCCGCGATTCGCTGTGCAGAGTTGCGTCCCTTGGGCACGCCAGAAACCTATGATTGTGGGTTCGAATCCCGGTTCGCCCCAATTATGTTTCTAGGTTTGTCAGCACCATGCCCGTGCTCGTGGGTTTCACCGAAGTGGTAAACGTCTGAGACCTGCATCACTTGGGGCTTTCCTCCCACATTAAGCTGACACGCCGTGATATAACTGGAATAATGTTAAAAGCGGCGTTAAACCCAACTCACTCACTCACTCACAAATATATTGAAAAATAATACTTGTATTTTTGGCAGTATGCCTTTAACCATTGTTAAACAGATAAAGGTTGGTAGGCAGACAACATGGATAAAACATATTTTTTTCATTACTGTAAGTTTTTTTGAAGATTGATTAAAGATGAAAGGAAAAAAAACCCTTCTGCATTACACGTAACCAGATATGCTGATGTTTTACTGGAAAAAATTACCCTTGCATATAAAACAAGGTTTGGCGTCTATTTTCCATTATTGGGAGGACGTATTTGGAAATCCATGAAATGATGTTTCTCACACTGTACGTCTTAATCATGCAAGCATCCCAAATAATATATAACTATACCGGTATTTACAAATCATATCTCATATACACAATGTTCAGTAATTTGAAATACTACTATTACTCTAAAGATTTAGTGCTCATCTGACTGTTTTATCGTCTAAATAAAAATCTTCACAATAATATGATGAATCGACGATGTAGAGAAAAACTTAGCATATTTTATTTTCTACCGAAACTGAAGTCAACCGCAACATGTCCCCCTGTTGTTCCATGGTAAAAACAGGAAAGACCTTCTCACAAATTAAACATAGACTCGAAACAGGAAGTGAAGCTGTAGGGGAGAAACAAGGGCGCCAACACAAGAGCATTCTTGACATGTATTTACAAAAGTTAATGAAAAACTGCCCAATGCAGAGGATATGATATAATCTTGCGATCAATACTAGGTTGAGAATGTGGTAAAATGGACTTGGGTTGTCGCCAAGATACTTAACACGGTCCTTAGGGAAGTTCCTGATATTTTTGCTGTCGATTTCATTGATATTGTAAATAGGTCATTTTTGTCACAATCAAAAAAGAAAATATTTTAAGCAGGAAAGTACTTTTTCACAACAGTGCCTGAGAATTTCTTGTGTGTAATTTATGTCATGAATCTATCAGTGTTGACTTTCAATGAATGGCCGATCTAGGATTTGCAAACACTGAAACAGACAGTAAAACTTATGACTTATTTCTTGTAATACTTAGACAATTTTGAAACAATAAAGCCTATTATAATTTATTTCACAGCTAAATTCTTACTGAAACCATACCCCAATAATACTTCACCCAAATATGTAAAGCTTACATATATCAAATTGAGAAATTTTTTACAAGATGTTAGTGTCGCTACGGTAACCAGAAAGGACATTATGAGAAGAAAATGCATCCTCTTATGTTACAGACAAATTCTGAATTAGTATTAATATTTAGGAAATAAACACAAATTTTCATATTTGAATTTTCTCAAACATGTTATTGGCTGACCATGTTGATAGACAACTGTTTTGGTTGCCAATAGTTGGTATTATAAATGTAACATAATTTGACAGAAAAGGACGTCGAGTAAGCTGGCAGGATATAAGTAAAATGTGTATGCTATAAATAGATCGCCTGTCAGTTGTTGACTATGGCGACGACACAGGATGGAAATGACTTAAGTAGATCATACGTACTGACTCAATTGAAGTTGTGGATGTAACTTAAGGGATAATTTCTGGGATGGCGGGGAGTGTTCTTGGAAGATTGATATTCAGTCCCTTATCTACTGCAGATTTTTGTGAAAATTCCTAAATTGGAATTCAAGTCTTTTTAACCTTCTAACGAAAGTCCTTATCTCTTCAACATAAAAACACACACCATAAAACACTGTAAAAGAAAGCATAACATTATTATAGGTCTTTTTCTCTTGAACCGGGTCACTGAAATACAAGACACCTCAAAGCAAAATGAGAGAATTTTGTAATTCCAATTTGGGAATTTTCACAAAAATCTGCAGTAGATGTGGGACTGAATATCGACCTTCCAAGAACACTCCGCACCATCCCAGAAATTATACCTTAAGTTACATCCACAACTTCAATTGTGTCAGTAAGTATGTACTTAAGTCATTTCCCTCCTGTGTCGTCACCATAGTCAACAACTGACAGGCGATCTATTTATAGCATACACATTTTACTTATATCCTGCCAGCTTACTCGACGTCCTTTTCTGTCAAAATATGTTACATTTATAATACCAACTATTGGCAACCAAAACAGTTGTCTATCAACATGGTCAGCCAATAACATGTTTGAGAAAATTCAAATATGAAAATTTGTGTGTATTTCCTAAATATTAATACTAATTCAGAAATTTTAACACAAGAAGATGCATTTTCTTCTCAAAACTCCTTTCTGGTTACCGTAGCGACATCTTGTAACGAAACATGCTTTCACATGAACAGAGAACGCACCACACACCAGTGACAGTCTATAATTACACATTGAAATATATGTGCGCGGTAAACAGCTTCAGGAAAATAACAACTTTACACCCAAAACTATCTAAAAGGCATATCATTATTTACATATTAGTCATGAAAAGATATCAGATCTGTGGATTATTACTTTGTAATCCTATGTATTGAGTAAGTATACTATATTTCACATTATTATAAATACCCCATTTGAAATTGAACATAGTATATTATTTCCTCTAATTTCTGATGGTATAGTATGACTTAGTAACAATGTTACACTTCTTTACCAAAATCAACTTAAAATGTTGAAATATATTTTGCACCACATGTGACAATAATTGATCAATGTAGACAATAACTCATTTTACAACACTAGACAAATCCACACTGATATTGAAGTTCATCGATTAGCATGATATAGTTATTATTAATCTAGCTTGATCCTGATGAACAGCAAAAGTGTAACGCAGATATGACTATTTTTCCAGGATATAATTATACTTTATTTTTTGAAAATATAATAATGTGTGTTTGGTATGTCTAACTAAACAATGAAACAAAAAAACGCCAATCACTGCTCCTGTCTCGCTATTACGTAATGACACCATGCGATCTACGTGCCCCGCCCACTCAAAAATAACAATGACGTGGAGCCAAATTTGTCAGTTAAAAAAATAATTTTAAAATCCTTATTTACGACATAAAAAATATCGATGACTTACCTAAACCGTCCAAACTAGCTTCTTTACCCATCGTGGTGGTCATACTCTAGACTGAACGGTGCTTCTTCAGATTCCTTTGTACAGAGAGTAGGGTTCTCTTCATTGACAAACCCTAACGCTGTGTGGATGGAATTCCGTTATTGGCGAATTTCGACACTGGAATTCAAAGGTTGAACAGATATCTGTCATTTCACAGACTAATGTAGTTTTCCCAACAAGAGCAATGGCAGACAAAATACTTGAGCGGTTACAATGATGTTGAGTTATCGCGGAAGTCGGCCTGTAACAAGCGCACGGTCTAACGTAATGTCGGGCTATTGTACAACGAGCGATGAATGGGCTTCCTCACAGCCTGGTCGCTTTCACGTCAGACGAGACGAAATATCTTGGGTTGTGATCGAATCAACTCACAATCGTCCATGGAACCCTCGAATACATGTCCATGTTCCTAAATACTAGACACCGGGACTTCTGAGCACACGCTCGCGTCGTCCGTGCTTTCCTTGCCAGTACGAGTGTGACAGACTAACCTATATTTGCCCCCTAAGCCATGACCCACTTCAGAATCCCCAAGTACACGTCGCTGATTGGCTGAAAGATTCTCGTGCAAAAAAATACCAACAGATTTTCTGGCAGAAAACCGGACAATACGAGGATGATATTGGTCAAGTTAAACGATGGTGGTTGTATAAATGTCAAAGGTTTTGTACAGTGTGTTGTCATACCAATTTACGTTGTAGTTTGTTTGTTCGGCAGATTGTACATATCATTTAGGTCACGGAGAACCAGCCAATCAAATGTACCGTTACAAACATGGGTGCCGGTTCTCGCTGACACAAAATATGCGACTCTCTAGAAGTAAACAACTAAAAATATCCACTCGATGTCGGTGCACTCGCGAACGCGACTACAATTAGAGCGTGTTGGCAAACTGTGAATAACGTCTCTTTGCGGGGTTCGTGCAAAATATATGTTTCAGATTAAAACATATCAACTTATTGCAGGCGGGGAGAATTAATAATTAAATCGCAAAATGTATGTGCAATTTTGTGACATGGCTGTCGGGTTGGTGGTGTCGGCTTTTAAAATGGGACAGGTCGAAAAAGTGAGTCATTTAAATAGGTCTCGTCCATGTCATCTAAACGCTAAGGTCACATATTTTCGATTGCGGATTAGAACAATCACTCTATAAATACCATCTATATTTTAGAGTTTTAGAAAGAATTATTGGGCCTTTTAACCATTTAAGGATTTCTATTAAACCTTAGTGTCTATATGACGTAAGTCGCTGTCATGTATTTGTTATTCAAAAAGACAAGAGATTAACCTTTCCAACGCTGTTTCAACAAAATAGGTTTAGTTTTGTATTATTATTATTATTTATATTATTATTATTATTATTATTATTATTATTATTATTATTAATGTGTTTGTTAACAACATTATCATGTTTCACCAACATAAGATGTCATCAATTAACCCTTTCAAAGAAGCTATGCCCTATATCACAGATTGTTTTACAGAGTGTCGTTTCCCTGCGTTCTGTTCTGGTTGACAGTCCCTATGCTCTGACAGCTTAAAGTAAATCGTGCAAGGCCCGACTAATAGCTCTCAAATGAACTTGCATTTAACACTAATCCCTTTCTCACATAACAAGGCCCTAATCAATAAGGCAAGTGATGCTAATTGACACCACAATACATAACCCTCGAAGTCTATGACGTACGCGTGTACCGATATATATAAATGCTATAACATCTACACTTTCAATATTTTTAAAGATCTTTTAAGGACAGTGTGATCAATTTTGCATGATGTGTGCACATCTTCTCACAGCTTCACATATACGGCAGAACAGCCCTCTCCGCTGGGACTAAGCCATACTTTTGCTTGCCATGTTGTCTGGTGAACCCGTGTTTTGGCGATAACACTGTTGGGAGTGCTCTTGCTCTGTTCGGAGTGCTCGTTTAACACCGTATGCAAGAAAATGTGTTCTGTGTATATACTTGGTTATCCTGTATGTTATGTCTCCATTGTGTTATAGTGAGTGAGTGAGTGAGTTTGGTTTTACGCCGCTTTAAGCAATATTCCAGCAATAGCACGGCGGGGGACACCAGAAATGGGCTTCACACATTGTACCCATGGCGGGAATCGAACCCGGGTCTTCGGCGTGACGAGCCATTCTGTTATAAATACCCTGGATCCATTCTCCACCGACACTTCGTTTCAACATAATCATTTCTATCATCACTAGCTTACCACAGAAGTTATCTCGCTCAAGAGCGTGCTTTCATTGGACAGCTATTTTTAGCTGTATTTGTATTTCGAATCGGACTCAAAACAAACTATGATAGCGAATGGACCCTGTGAGCATTTATGATAATTTAATGTACATATGTACCCTGGACAATCGAGGATGTGTTATTTGTTTTCACATATCAAACATATACAAAATACGAACATCTTGAAGCTATAAAACTTTTCTAGATATTCAACCTTCTGTCTAATTCACGATTCGGAAACAAAAACCTTTTAAGCTCCATCAAAATAAATTCAATCGGAAAAGGTGTTCCGTCTGAATTTTAATCAAGGGTGTGCCTATTTCCTGCGTCAGATAGTGATATCGAGCCATTTCAGGCCTCGACACTGAATTCTGAATGAAAAGCGAACTGTGATGAGTTATATAGAATCAAAGACGTACATAGAATGCTGTAACGATCTCAATAATTCAAGCTCGCGCCTCGGATTCCTTATTTAACCGTCTGCGTCGCCATCAGTGAAGATCATTGACTTCTGTCGATGCATGTGGGTCTATCTTTAGCCAGTACTGACTAGTTTCTAAAACCGGAAACATTAACACTATAGTGTTCGGGTTTATTTTGAACATCTGTTCCCACGTAATTCATCATGAACGACAAGAGCACGTAAATATGGAAAACATGTATATGGAAATCAATAAATATATCAAGAACGAGTCTTCTGGGAAGCATGGTGTGAGTTATGGGTTCATGGTTATGTTTTGTTGGAGTCTTTATGTACACGGTAAATGTTACGTTTTTCAATGCCTCTTCTGACATAATGCGTTGTGATTGGGAAGTGTGTTTGCAGAATTCTTTTGGTAGTGATCATTATCCTGTGTTTACTAGCCTTCAACTTGACCCAATCGCTGAACTGAGTGGTACACCTCAGCGGTGGATTTTCTCCATAACTGACTGGTCTGCATTTACTGCTTTGTGCTCTGATACAATCACGCATGCTATAAACTCGATTGACATAGAGCAGTTTTACAAATGCTTTGTCTCTAACATTATTGATGCTGCCAATAGATTTATAGGCAGAAGTTTCTGGTAAACGTCCGCTTAAACCGCCTGTTTTTGGGTGGACGGATACATGTCAATCAGCACATGATGCCAGGAAGAGGGCAAAGAAAATTGTTCAAAAATCGGCTTTGCCGTGTGATTAAATCAAGTATAGGCGCACTTCCGCATTCCTTAAAAGAACTGTTATTGAAGCAAAACGTTTGTCTTGGTCTAATTACTCCAGTTCTATAAATACAAATATACCTCTATCTCAGGTATGGAGGAAAGTGAAAAAGGTTTCTGGTAGTTCAAGTTACAATCGTGCTATTCCGTCTATTGGTAAAGTCACGCCTGCAACAAGAAGTATTGACAAGAGAAATGGACTGGCTCAGTCATTTCAAAATGTATCGAGTACAGTTAACTTTAACTCAGATTTTCTACTCTATAAAGACACACTTGAATTAGAATTCTCGGACATCTTACATTGTCCAACATATCATATCGCTGATTACAACTCATTATTTAGTTTCCAGGAATTAAAGAATGCCTTTTCTGGACGAAACAATACTTCTCCATGTGATACTAGGATATGTTTAAACATCTTCCCCATATCAGCCTTGAAACCATGCTTTTACTTTTTAATAATATTTGGTTTGAAGGCAAATGTCCTATTTCTTGGAAAAAAGCAATAGTAGTTCCAATTCCGAAGCCTGGTCAAGATCCTACTGAAGCCACATCCTACATACCTATTGTCTTACCTCTAACATGTGTAAAATAATGGAGAGAATGGTAAAAAACTGTCTGGTGTACTTCATGGAAAAGAACAATCTGTTTTCAGACGTTCAGTCAGGCTTTAGAAAAAATAGATCTTGTGCTGATCATTTAGTGTGACTTGAAACTGAAATTAAAAAGGCTTTTGGTAGCACTGAATATTTGTAGGGAAGATATTGTGGAGGGAAGGTTTGGTAATAAATCTGCATAACCTTGGAGTTTGTGGTCGTATGCTTGATTGGATAAAAGATTTCGTAAGAGGTAGAACTATACAAGTTCGCATTGGAAGTTCACTCTCAGATATTTATATTGTAGAGAATGGAACACCCCAAGGAAGTGTGATCAGCCCAACATTATTTAATGTTATGATAAATGATTTGTTTGAGAATATTAATATCCTGGTTGAAACATCACAATTTGCAGATGATGGAGCGTTGTGGAAAAGGTCCGGTAATTTTGACACTGTCTTCAAAGGCGTTCAACAATCTCTCTATCTTGTACAGAATTGGTGTGTACATTGGGGTTTTAAGATTTCAGCTTCTAAATCTTAAGCTATCATTTTTAATCGGAAGAAGATTCCTCGTAATTCAAAATTAGTCGTGTGGTTCTGAGTTGGAGTTTGTGGATAAAATCCAGTTTTTACGTCTCTGGTTTGATAAGAGGCTCACCTGGAAACCACATATGGACTATCTGATTCAGAAATGCAAAAAAGTCCTGAACCTTCTGAGAAGTATTTCCAGTACCAAATGGGTGCAGACAAGAAGTGTTTGTTAATGTTATATAGAGCCCTCATTAGATCTTGACTTGATTTCGGTTGTCTAGCCTATGGATCTGCATGTGCTACACAAAAAGCAAGACTTAATGTTGTTCAGTCCAAAGCCCTAAGATTATGTCTTGGAGCGTTCAGGACTACCTCTATTGAGGCTTTACAAGTTAATTCAGGTGAAATGACACTAGATCTCAGGCGTGAACTGTTAGACGTGAGGTACATGTTAAAATTGAAATCTTTTGGGAGTAAACACTCAACGTCAACTGTGTTGAATGATTGTGTGGAATATTTTCATGACTCTTGGAAAAAATGGTATGGGGCCTTTTGGGATGCGATCTCAGAGAACGGCTTTCAATCATACTGTGCGTGATGTTGCAATAGATGACACTACTGTTCTGCCTGAAAAGCCACCATGGCTGCTTGAACTGCAATCAGTTTATCTTGATGTCCGGGAACAGGTAAATAAATGTGAGCCAGCACCTCGAGTTAAAGGTATATAGCTGAGGAACATATCCGAAGTCTACAGTGGTTAAATGTCATGCAGATTGACACTGATGGCTCTAAGTGCCTAGTGCCTGGATGTGTTGGTGCTGGTATATTCATCGTTAATGAAAAGAGAGAACTTTCTACCCGATTGGCTGATCACTTATAAGTATTTTCTGCTGAACTTGGAGCAATCATTGAAGCATTGTGTTGGATTATTTTTTTAAGGC